GGGGCGCCGGGCGCCCCGGGGGGAAAAGGGGGCTCGTGAGGGCGGCGGGGAAGGGGGCCCGGAGCCCGGCCCGGCCCTGCCGCCCGCCTGCCCCTCGGTGCTGCCTCCTCTCCCTCCACGTTGTCCTGCCATGTGCCGCCACCCTGGGCCTCGAAGTGACCACCACGCCTCGGCAGCCTCCCGCTCCCCTCAGCCCACGGGCCTCGCCGGTGCTGGGGTGCCGTGTCAGCCTGTCCCAGGGCGCTGCGCCATCTCCCTGGCCTCTTTGGGCTTCTTATTGCTCTGTTTTTACTATTCTTTGGTCATATGTGAAGTATAGAATGTTGCTCTCGACAGACAGAACAAAACCAGGTTTGGTGTTAAGATAATTCTCCGTATTGCTAGTTCTTCCATCAAGTCCCTAACTTGTCATAAAGTGTCGCTGTGTGTCTCGTTCTGATCACTGCTTTTATTTCCTGACAAAAGCGCCTCTCTTTAGTGCAGTACCTAAAGCTTCTAGACTGCTCAGGAGTCTTCAGGGCTCAAAGTCCCCATTTACCTATGAGACTTGCAGCGTGATGACACTAAAAGAAATCTGGTACTGAAAGCACAGGCTTCTCTCCTAAACATGGCTGCTTCATTATGATTTCTATGACACTTTATGTGAAAGATCTGCTCTTATTTTTTGTTTCGTCATTTTCTTTCACTTTGCAGGTTCTACTTCTGCCATTCTCTCATCTTAAATATTTTTATTTGAAGGCTTGAGAACTCAGTGGGGGGTAGAAGAAGTTTGTCTGTGTAGCTCATCTCCTTAGCCAAGCTTGGCAATATGCTCAAAATATCCTGCGCACTATTTGTTGGATTGGCTTTGGAAAAGAAAGTGTTTGAAATGAGCAGGTTTTGCTCTGCAAGACTTAACTGTCACATCTTAAGGACTGTAATGTAATAACTCCATTATTTTCTGTCTGCATTGCTGCTTTTATAAGAGCAAAACAGAGATGATTGTGTGTGTGTGAGGCGGGGAGGAATTGCCAACAGGGTTAGGGTGATGTTTTTTAGGGAATTACTATTATATTGGCCTTAGATAAAACGTGTAATTATGGAAGTCCATAAAATAGAGACAAAGGTTTATAACAGTAAAAAAATCAGGAGATGCAGAAGTGCCTTTGCTTGGCTTGGTCTGCAAAAAATGAACTGCACTAAGATGCTAGATGATACTTTATCTCGACTTGGAATAAAGTGCTTTAACTTTATTTAGAAAGTTGTTTGTTCCTTGTCTGTGTAGGGCTTAAATCCAGGTCCATAAAGTACCTAGATAATATGCATTTATAAAATAATAATGCTGGCAATATATGCAGTACAATGGAGTTAATGTAGCCTTGTGCTGATAGAGAGGGGTCAGAATGAGAAATAGCTCCTGCTTCTAGCAGCATAAATTATTAAAGTGTTTCAGCTTGTCACATGCTCTGGAGTGGCAGCCTTCCCTCTGTCCCCCTTTCTCTTGGCTGGTCCCAGAGAGATGACTGGCCTGGAGCACTGTGTGCTAAGCTGCTGTGGCAACTGCTTCTTAAAATCTCTTATCTTTAAAGGCTTCCAGTGCAGAACTGCTGTCATCCCGGCTTTCATTTGCAAGAGTGATGCTCCTGCTCGTGGGGACCTGCTGAAATGTAGTTGCTGCTGATTTCCGTGTCTGCTGGATGAAGCTCTTGGGCTTTTGCCTGTAACTGCCTCTGGAAGGGTGCTTGTCCTCCCTCTTTATCTGATGTTTCCTTATCGATAGTGATAGAGTTCAGACTTTGTACAAAACAGAGCAGCCATCCTCGCTGCCTGCGTGGCTGCTCGGCCCTTTGGGGCTTTCTGTGGTGTCAGCTTTGAGCAAGATCAAATGAGGAGCAGCAGATAAGCACTGCGGTAGTCACCTGCAAACTGGCCTAGGCAATGGGGTCTTCGTGCACTTAGCTGGAACTAAATGTCAAACCTAGAGAGAAAAAAGTGGCAATGGCAGCAATATTTGCCAACGTGTTAAAGCTTGTTGCTTAAGAGCTTAAGGCTTAAAGGTTATTGTCCCGAAAGTGCGTTCGGAAATGTTTAGTCCTGGAGCTGTGCGTATCAGCGCCCATGTCTGGCAGCACCAAAGGTGTCTGATGGGAACCAGCGACAGATGCTTAATGGAAAAGGTGTAAGGAGCAGATATGGAGCAGGAATCCCTCCCGGTGTCTGGACGACCATCCCACTGGCGACTGCAGCGGGATGGTTGTGTCCCGTGACTGAGGCGCAAAAGCTCCGTGTTGTGTGAATGTGTAACTGCTCTTCGAGCCCTTTCCCACTTTGGATCTCCTTGGCATCTTTGTCACTGAGCTTTGCAACTGAAATGTGGAAAAGAAATAACTTTTAAGCCCCTCGGTCACTAATTTAATTGAACACCTGCTATTTTGTGAGGTGAGAGGTGACAAATGCTTTGCTGTCCTGTCTGCCCCTCAATCACTCATGATTCTTAGGGTACCGTTATCCTCTCTGTCCTCCTTTCTCAAATGGAAATCTGAGTTCAATATTTTTTGAATGGATACTCTTCTACTGTTCTATATCTGTTGTCTCAGTCCCTGTTCTGTTTATTTTTAAGTTTTTGTTTGTTTGGTTGGTTTTTTTTTGCTTATTGTTTTGTTTACTCCTTATAGCTCAACTAAATCCCGTTGCTGCCCATGGATAATTAGGGTTGTTTTTTCCGGTGTGTGTTGCTGTGTGTGGAATGACTTTTTTTACATCCTTAAAACTCATCTTCAACAACTTCTTGTCTGTAGGGCAGATTTCACTGGAGAAACACTGAGTTCCCAATTTGTTTGGATTTTTTTTTTTCAAACTTAAAAACAACAAAACAAAAACCTCAAAAATCTTCCTCTTCCGTGCAGCTGGGATTCTTAACTCTGGGACCTTCTGGACCCTTCTTATATAGGACATAACTCTTTAAGAGGAGAAAAAGAGAAGAGCAACCTGGTGTGTAAATCCTTCTATAGCTGGGGAACAGGGAATCTTGCCCTTTTCTTATATAGGAAAGATGCTTTGCCAAGGACAGGCGGAGCTGGAGCACTGAGTGTGCGGAATGAACTGATCAGTGTAAAGATGAATCTGAACAGCAGCGACCGGCACCCGAACGCTCGCGCTTTGTGTCAGCTTTTGCTTAGCTCTGGTGGTTGCTGTTCAGTGTGAGTACGTGTAGCTGCTGTGAGCGCTTGTTCTCATAATCTTCCCTGTGCTCTGTGTTTGGGGCTGCAGCTGAGCACTTGGGGCTCATCTCAGAGCTAAGTAATACCTTGAAGAAGCAGATACTGCTCAGTTGTGTCTATTTGTTTTTGCTCTAGGTCTTGAGGCTGATCTGCAAAGGCTTCATGTCTGATGTGTGCCTTTTAAAGCCTCCCTGAAGGTGCTTTACTGTCCCTCTCCTGACATCATAAGCTGTGGTAGAAGGAATCACGATCCCTCGTGAATATTTCTTGTTGCATGTGAAGGTGCTGTCGTGTCGTCTGTGCGTCTTGCTCCCTTCTTGCCCTTGCATCTCGGCAAGCCCACGCGGCCGGCAGGGATGCCGTGGATAGGCGCTCCGATGGGAAGCAGTGGTCAAGCTAGGTCTTGTGGTAGGATGTGGTTAGAGCGCTCTTGATTCACATTTTTATTTCACATGCAGGTTAAGTTTGTGCGGTTAAACCCTGGCTGCTTCCACCGGCTGCAGGAAGGATGCAGGGTTAAATGTTGAATTAGATCTGAAGCAGATACTGAATGAAGTCTGAAGAAATGGCATGTTTTGGAGGAAACACTGCTCATTCTTGGGTGCCTAAAATGAGGTGGTTGCGTTGAGGTTTGTGTATGTTCGCAAAAAGTAGACCTCCATCTCGAGCCCCTGGTTATACCTGGAGAAGGCTGGACAAAAGAAGGGAGAAAGCAAGCTTTCTGTTAAATAGGTTTTCCTCTTAAATTATTCCAGAAGCTTTGATTTTGGTAGGTTTAGTTCTTATCAATTGTAGGAACCTTTAAAATTCCAAAGTTTAGCAAAATGAATTAGAAAAGGTAGGGAGGACCCTGTTTGCTGGACCTGACTGGACAACATGCTGTCAGGAATGGGTCTCTGCATGCACCGGAGTGTGAGGATAGACACAAGTGCCACAAGAAGTGGTGCCTTGAGCGCCGCAGCGGGAGCTGCTCCTTCTTTGCTGGGGATTTCCAGCCATTGCAGAGCTGTTTCAGCTGAACAGCCCTGGCTTAATCTGCTCATCTCATGAATACTCTCATGACAGAATTACCGAGTTTCTGGGGTAGCTCCCAGGAAATAACGAGGCTGTCGCCTTCGGCTCATGCACAGCTGTTTATTTGTCTGCTGACCTAGAAGGGATGGCTCTAGAAATGCGACTGTTTGTTTGCTGCAATAATGCAAAATACTACAATGTTCTCTCTGCTGTAGTCTAAATGGGCAGAGCTGAAACGTTTTGGGAGCTACTGTGGGAAGAGGGAGATCGCCTGTGTAAAGGCCTGGTGCTTTGCCTGGCGTTGAGATCACTGAAAAGCATTTTGGGGGCTTTCAGGTAAACCTTGGTTGCATGCTGTCTCTTTTCTCAGCTCGTACATTTCTTCCTTATTTAAAGAAGGATTCATTTTATAGGGTGTCTGTATAAAACTGTATGTGGCCTGATATTGCTGGGTAACTGAGACAGCCACTCGCATCCATTTTGCTTTTCCAGAATATGTTGCTGTTCTGCTTTGGTAGCAATTGGCACCCACTTGACAGCTCAGTAAGTGCTGCATATGTTCCAGGAAACGAGTTTTGGATTCAGTGTCTCCTAATGCTTCTCGGGCTTAAGGAAAAAAAAAAAAGAAAACCTCGTTCCTGTGAAACCGAATGTTCTTGTTTCTTTTTTCTTTTTTCTTTCTTTTTTTTTTTTCCTTCCAGCTTTTCCAGATTTCTCAGACACTAAAAACTGGGAAACTGTTCTAAACTCCCTTTGCTGGTGATGTAGCTGGTTCCCAAATCTACCATGGAGTCTGGAACTGGAGAGGAGCCTGTGCAGGGTACCTGAGTTGGCCACAAGCAGTTAGCAGCAGCATGAACTTTGTAGCAGTGCCCTGACTTCAGCTGCACTCATGAGAGGCTGAGGCTGAAATCCCTTGCACCAAGTGCTGCTTCAAAATGTGGTCCTGGAGCCTTGGGATCTTGCAGTGGAATTAATCTAGGAATGAGTCCAAGGCTTATTCCCTCATTTAGGAAGGGAAGGGGAAAGATTTGCTTGAGGAGAGTTTGCTGGTAGTTTTTGGCATGGGGAGGGAATAGGAGTGAAGGGAGAAAAAAGGTGCTGCCTCTCACAGCAGCCCCTGCTTATGTTGGTGGGCCCACACCAGCGGCTGCTGTTGTAAATTGGCTGCCAGCGATATCTGCTGATGATGCCAAGCTGCTGTCATCCCTTCTCTCAAAGGTGCGTGTAAGCACCACTGCCTCCCCTGCCTGGCTCCTCATGGGCTGGAGCAGGAATAACCAGTCTGCAAAATGAGAGACTTGCTGCTCTGCTGCAGTGCTGAGCTTAGCCCTTTGCTCTGTGTGATCTGGGGCACCAGCTGACCCAAATCCTGGTGGCAGGTGGGTGTGTGTGAAGCTCAAACCGATTTGTTTGTTTTGTTTTGTCTCCCTAGGTGATTTCTCTGGTCAGCTTTTAGCTTATTTGAGTCTTGGTCCAATATTCATAATTGTTGGCTTCATAACACTCATCATATTCAAGAGGGAGCTTCACACGGTAAGTCCTTCTCTCCCCTCCTGTCATCTTCTTTTGTCAATAATCTATTTCTTCATGACATGCTGCTCCTGTATTCACATTATTTATTGGGTCTTTAAAGAGTAAGTTTATCTAAAGTGATCTTCCTGCCAAAGAACAGCAGGAGAGATCCCACCTCCTGCAGCCGGTTAAGAGGCTGTTCTGCCTTTGCTGACTTTAGCTGTGCTGTATTTTAGGCATTGTCTGTTTAAAAGTATCGGGGAAAGAAGGCTGAAACTTAAGAAGTGCAAATTAATAACGTAAAGGCCTCTTCCTTGCTGTGCGCTGAGCACTAGGGACAGAAGACACTCTTGCTTCTTCCTGAGCTCTTCTGGAGCTCGGTTGATGCTGGTAAACAAGAGTAAGTGTTGAGGCTGGCTCCTGATTCCACCTTGGGAAGTCACGGCTGAGCTGGAGCGAGGCAGTTGCTACCTGACCTGCAGCAGCCCGGCCTGTAGCTCAGGGCACAGCAGAAAATGTGACTTTGTCACCTGAAATAGGGCTGAGCAGTGAGGAGGCAAAGTACAATCACCAGACAGGAACTTGGTCACAGCAACAGGGGTAATTTATGGATGGAATATGGACTATGGAATTAAGTAGTAAAAACAAATGCTACTGGCCTGTCACAATCCACAACTTTTCATTATAAACTGAAGACAGTAGTTTCAGCCATTTACCCAAATAATGATGTGTGTGCTCCCCCTGTTGGTAATCAGAAAGAAATAATAATAATGTTTTTAAACTTGTCTTGTTTGAAAATGCACTTTTCTGCCCTTGCTGATGGGAGTGTGCTAAAGCAATGGCTGTAACTGCTATATGATGTCTCCTTTTTTATTTTTTTTTTGCCTGTGAGTCATTTACCCAACAGCTGCGTATATACATGGTGTTGTCATATATACCAAGTAAACTGAAAAAGAAATGCTTTTCTTTCTCAACTACAGAATTCTGAGGCTGCTGATTTTTTAACTCTAATAGTCAAAAAAAAGCAAATGGGAAACATGTGACTTGGGGGCTTATCATGAACAAGTAGCTGGTCCTTTTAAGTAGGATGATGCAGCTGTTTTGCCTCCACAGATCTCTTTCTTGGGAGGGCTGGCTTTCAACGAAGGAGTGAACTGGTTAATAAAAAACGTTATCCGGGAGCCACGGCCCTGTGAAGGTATAGTGTGGCCCATTTGTGTTATGGTGCCATGTTTTATTTATTTTTATTTTATTAATTCATTTATTTGAATGGCGTGATATTAGTATGGGGTTTAGAGGGTATTTGCCCCTTTGTTGCATGTTGATTTTGGATGTTTGGGTGCAGAGGGCTGCCACAGCCATGTGGGCAGTGACGTGTCCTGCACGTTCCAGCTTCACCTTTGGAGCATTCCAGCTGCTCTACAGAATAGACTTTGACCAAACTTTCTTCTTCTCTTCCCAGAAGCCCATTCAACAGTGACCACAAAATATGGGATGCCATCCAGCCACTCCCAGTTCATGTGGTTTTTCTCTGTATATTCATTTCTCTTCCTTTATTTAAGGTAAAAATCTCACTTTCAGCTTTTGGCTGTTAATGTGTTGAAGCACCTTGATACGTGGCTTCCAGTTCAGTTAGGTAGCAGAATTAAACTGCAAGACCTGTATGATTTGTTCTGTGTCTAGGGTTATGAAACTGCCTTCCTCAATGTTGTGGGGCCGGAGTTGCACTTGCTAGAAAGTGAAAGGTTGGGATGGGCCTCCTGCTGCCAGCCCTGCCCTGAGTGCATCTGAAAACACGTTGCAGATTTGCTCTGTGGGTCGTGATGCTTTGACTGATCTTTGAGCCTTAACTGGTCCCTCTTGCATTGTGTTAATGGCTTTTTGTGTCTTTCAGAATGCACCAAACAAACAACGCCAGGTTTCTGGATTTACTATGGCGGCACGTGCTGTCCGTCTGCCTCGTGACAGCGGCTTTGCTAGTCTCATATAGTAGGTATGGAGCAACTTTGTCTTGTGCTCTTTGCCAGTCCTCTGGCCTTGAACAGCAGCAGATCTGGTGCTCCTTGGTGATCACATAAACAAATGAGAGCTTTGGGGAAGTTGCAGCGTTGCCACGAGCCACTTTAGATAGGCATATGAATCGTTACATGTGTGGTGCCACATAGAAGCATGTATAAAACCCAAATAAGGGTTATAGGGATATAAGGGATGTAGGCTTAGCCTGTGTCAGATCCCTGTTGGCTCCGCTGCCGTGCTGCATCCTCGCTGCCGGCCTCTTCCAGCACCAATCATGGAAGCATTGCAGCGTGCTGTGCGTGCCAGTGTCTGCAGCACGTGGATTGCTTACAGCTGACCAAACTGATGGAGTGTTTGGTTTGAGCATTAGTTAATATAAGCATTTAGAGCTGTTTGACTTGCCAGATTTAGTTATATTAAGAAGATGAATCTAGAAAATAAAATTTTGATAATGAAGTTTATTTCCTTTACTAGATTAAAAAAAAAAAAATCAAGTTGTTGGAAACCAGACACATTCAGGCTAGAAATAAGACCATGTTTTCTACAGAAAAGCCATTACCTATTGGCACTCTTGACAGTATACTAGAGCTGATTCATTATTGCTATTTATTTTAAAAAGTCTGACAGGGCATTTTTATAAAAGAGATGTGGTCTAGCTCAAAAAATATTATTTTGAGAAAATCCAGTGGCCTGTGCTAGGCAGAAGGTCATATTAGAGGGATGCTCTTAATGGCTTTTTGGCATACAGATGGAAATAATTTTGAGTGCAACTCATGCAGTTTGTGTGCAGGGGTAACTTAGCATACACTGGTACCACTTTCTGATGCCACAGTCGCAGCAAGGGCTCTGTAGTGGTGCAGCCCGAAGAATTTTGAGTGCGACTCATGCAGTTTGTGTACAGGGGTAACTTGGCAGACATTGGTACCACTTTCTAATGCCACAGTTGCAGCAAGGGCTCTGTAGTGGTGCAGCCTTCATGCTGCCACATTTGAGAGTGGCAAAATGTGGTGGGGGAAAGTGTTCAGTTACTGAAAGTCTTTAAGCCACAGCTTTGCTTTGGAGGGGGCTTGCGCTGGTGTTGGCTCTGGAACAGTCTCTCATAGGAACCAACACCACTGATCTACTGACCTAGTGATCTGCTAGGAGGAATGTAGAGGGTTATTGAATTAAAGGCAAAGTAGAAGTGCTGTGAGCTGAAAATGCTGCAGCAAGGAAAGCCTAGTCTGCTTCCTGTTTCTCTCCTTCCCCTTGCTCCCCCACCAGCATTTTCACAAATAAGCAAGTGGAAGATCTGCTTTTGCCATTAGGGACATAGCTTGTTCTGCACTTAGAAGGTCCAAGTGAAACATCAACCTGCAAGTCCTGCCTCCTCTTGCTTGAAAGCCTGTCTGGTGACCCTTTCTCTTCCACTGCAGGGTTTATTTGCTTTACCACACCTGGAGCCAAGTGTTATATGGGGGTGTGGCAGGAAGCATCATGGCCATAGCCTGGTTTGCCTTCACACAAGAGATACTAACTCCTCTCTTCCCAAGGATAGCTGCATGGTAAGTGTCTTTGTTCTGGTAAGGCTTTATTCCTGCAAGTCTGGATTGCTTAGGGCTGTTTTGTCCAGTAAAGTGAGTCCCTTGGAATGGGGTGATAACCCTAATGAAGCAGAACTCCCTGCTAAGAAAATATTTTGTGGTCAACCAGACTAGCTTTACCTTCCATCTGAAGGAAAACAAATGTTAAGATACCTAAGCTTCTAACATTTAGTTGTAGTGATGCAAGTCCTGATTGTAAGTGAGTTGCTACAAACTGCATAAGTGTTAGATGCTGGAGAAGGGAACAAGGATTCCTGGATTCTGTTCCAGCTTTGCCTGCTGGCTATTGTGTGACTGTGTAACTTGTTCTCTGCTTTTCTCATGTGTGTGTATATACAAGGGATTGTATATGTATTCCCCTTGCCTCATATGGGGAATGGAGAAGGGAGCTCTAGGAAGCTGATACATTTCTAAAGTTCCACTGAAGTTGTGAGCTGTGGTAAAGTGGTGGAGGAAGGCACAAGATGAAGAAGTAACTTTCAAGTAGATAAGGCCTTTCTTAATCAATGTCTGATGAGCTAGTGAAATTGCAATCCCATTCAAATTTAATGGGGTCAGGAAACATTATAAGGAAAGGAAAGCTGAGTGTATGTGTATATTTAGATCCTGATTAAATTTAATGAGGCATCTTCTGTTATTTTGTGCTATATGTTTTGTTCTGTTCCAAAACTGTGTGTATGTGTGTGCCTACTAACTTGCTCTTCCTCCCTTCTTATGTGTGTGTTTTTGTTTTGTTTTAGGCCAATTTCAGAGTTCTTTTTAATCCGAGATACCAGCCTCATTCCCAACATCCTGTGGTTTGAATACACAGTCACGAGAGCAGAGGCAAGGTAAGTGACCCGATGGTGTAGGAGGAGCTGTAGCTTTGTCAGCCTTAGCTATCAATTGCTTTACTTTCCAACATGTAGATAGACTCTTCTGTGGATAAAATAGCATAGAGTGAAAGAGGATCAAACTGTGGGTTAACCGCAGCATCTGAAGGTGAGTCTGTTGGGGTGTGTTCCAATCCAAGTTTCAGGAAGAGTCAATATTTGGACTCCTTGGCCTGTGATCTTTGTAAGCAAGTCTTACATCCATATGTGAACTTTTGCACACTTGGCCAAGGTGGCAGTTGTAGGGCTGTAAATGGTAGGAGGGACCGTTCTCCCTGGAGAACGTGGTGGAGGCAGCTTCATTTGTAAGATAAGCAGAGTTTGACTTTAATCCTTGTGTCCTTTAGCCAGTGGTTTGCCCCACTACCCAGCGATGGGGTTAAGGGGCATCTTTGTGACCCTGCCCTCTCTGTCACTGTTGCAGAAACAGACAGCGCAAGTTGGGTACGAAGCTGCAGTGACTCACGAGGTGCAAGGACCAGAGTGCACGTTTCGACAGCGAAAGACAAGAGCAGAGACCTGGGAGCAGCAAGAAGCCTTTTAACAGACGGACCAAAGGAGCAGGCAGGGACCAAACCCCAAACCTGAAAGCCTTTGCTCTGCTTTAGCAGCTAGCTGGATGCTCCCTGATGCATGTGGGACTGTGCAGGAGGAAAAACTCATTTTCAACACAGATGCACATTGCCAGGTGGAATGTACCACCGTGTCTACGTCGGGAGGGGGGAGAAAATGCCTGGTGTCTTGTTTGGGGAGGGGAAAACCAAATCGAATAATTTTTGTGACTTTTTTTTTTTCCTCAGCATGAAATATACACACTATTTATTTATTTTTTTAAATGGAACTATTACTTTTCGGGGTGGGTGAGACATTGATTGTGTGTTTTGTTTTTGTTTTTTTCCCTTTTTGGAAGATGACAAAACTAATCTCAAGTTGGTCATGCTTAATTAGGAGTTTTAATTTTTAAAAATCCCTCAGGAGGAAGGGGACCTAAGATGGGGGTGACTTCAATGGAAGGGAGAGGAAGGTTTTCTTTCCTTTCTGAAGCTTTCTTGGGAGATCAAAATCAATTCCAACTGCACTTCATATGGACAGGAAGAAAGTTCTGCAGATTTGCTTTAACACTAGTGATGGTTCTGCAGGGAAGCCTGCCCAGATATCATTGGGGGAGTGTGTGTGGGTGTGTATGCAAAACAAAGGAAAAACTGAAATATACTGTTTTTTTAATTATTATTATTATTTTTCCCCTGCTGTTCCTGCTGTGTAACTAGCAAGAAAGTCTTTCTCAGAATCTGTTCTAGGTGGCAAGACTCCACATGCCTCTCGCGTCTGCCCCTTCTCTTCCTTTCTACTCCCATTCTCTCAGGGTTGCTGTGCTCTGTGCAGCTCCTGCTGTGCTCAGTGTGCTCTGGATGGCACTGGGGAGCCGCTCGCTTTTGAGCAATGTGACACTCCCAGAGGAGTCAGCCCAAAGCCTTATGAAATTCAGTTGCTGATCCCTGCCTTAAACCCTGGATTTTCTGGTTTTTATTTTTTATTTATTTTTTGTAGGTAGAGTAGGTAAATTTATTTTTTTTAGGTAGACTTTTTTAAAGAATGAACAAGGTGACAAGTTAAACTAGCCCAGGTGTTGTCTGAGTTATTTCTGAAGAGCCCAGTTTGAATGCATCAGAGGGCTCGAGCAGTGAGGTTGTCCTAGCAGGTACTTGTCACAATGGCTTGGTCTTGGTTCTGCCATAGTGACCTTGATGGCTGAGCTCCTGCAAGCAGCTTTGGGTGGTCTCTTCCCTGTTCCTTTCCAATTCTGTTTGCCTGTTGGCTCCCTGGATGACACATCCCTGGGAGCGAGCCCAACAACTCCACGTGCTGCTGATGCCCAGAGCCTCTGTGGGCCGTGAGATAACTTGGGGAGGGCTTTCCTCTAGGGCTGTGCATAGACACTTTTTGTATTTCTCATGTCTAATGCAGCAGTCTAAGTGTTACTACAGAGAAATGCTTCTTCAAAGCACAATAGACTTGAATCGTCACAGCTAAAGGAGGTTTGAACTGGTGCAAAGTCATCAGGCTGCCTTTGCTGGTCACGGGAGCAGAGGCAAAACTGCCTCCTCTCAGTCTTGTTGCCTGTTTTGCTAATCTCTAACTAGATTCTTGCATTATAAAGATGCTTGAAGGGGGATACATTTCTGTTCATCTTGATTTTGATATTTCAAGTTTTCATCTCTGCCTGTTGCCATAGGAGTTTGTGTGTTCATAGGGAGTGGGAGTTGGCTGCTGCAGAAACCATTGGGCAACTGCTAACCATCCTTTAGCTGGGAGATCAGGAATGAAAGCCAGGAATGAAAGTGATCAGGGAGATCACTTACATTTTTATGTTTAAGAATCTTTTCTTTGAGTAGGAAACTATGTATTTGTTTTCAGGTTTTTTTTCTCATAACAAAAACCAGGACTGCTCATGTTAACATCTGAGGGACCTGGGCACTGGATCTGCTTTGAAGGTGCATCACAGTAAAGAAGCATCCAGCTTTTACAGGAATGTTAGATCTAGCTTTGAAAAGCTTTATTAAATGAGACCAGACCATCAGGTAGGCAACACAACGTGGCAGTACCTTATATCTGAATTTGAAAGCTGCTATTAATTACTCATTTCTTGCAAAGCCACTTCATTGTTCCTTGTTTCTTGTAGATTAACTTACAAAGGCAGGAGGGGGATCACAGCTCCCTTTCCCAGGCTCAAGGCTGAACTGCTGGATTGCTCTGAGCCTATAGAATTGTTGTAAAAGAGAGCTGGAAAAGCCATGTATGAAGTGCTGATGGAGAACCAGAGCACACACAGAGGGCTCATATCCTTGCAGGCAGCACTGTGGTATATAAAGCTCTACCACTTTGTGTTGCCGTTAGACCTGAGCTTCCTACAACTGATGCCTGGCAGTAAAGGAGAGGGAGAAGAGCTCTTGTAAGAGTCTGTAATAAACTCTCTACTGTTCTCTACTAGTTGTTGTAATCTGCATTTCCTGCATACTTCTGCACATTTCTAAAAAGCTTTGCAGAACTTGGGATAGTAGAAATTCTTTAGTGAGCCCATGTATTTTCTTAAATCAATGATGCTGTGCGGAAAAGATTCCAGCCCTACCTTATTATCCTGTGCTTGTATAAAGCCTCCTGTCACTAGTTTTCTGAAACAAAATGTTTTCTTTGGAATACGTGGCTTTGCAAGCAGCTGATTTCTGGTTCCTCCCCTGTCCTCAAGGGCTGGATGGAGGCACTAAGACAATAAAAGGAAGGTGATAGAGCACTGTGCTTCATTCTTCCTGTAGTCCCACCAGCATTCTCCTAGAAGGATCATTATGCAGCTTCTGCAATTTCTAAGGAGATTTAAACCTTCTCATAACACTTATCTGTTTATTGGAAGAACACTTCAAATCTTTGCTTGACAAGATTACACTGTCAACACGATATTTAATACAACTAACCAGCAAAGCATGCAAACACTACTAGGCTGTATCATAAATTGCACTCATGCCCCAAGTGTTTTTGAATGTTTTCAGTCTATGCATTTCTTGAATTTATTCCAAATTAGTAGCTTTTCCAGAACTTCGGTTCTTGTACTTAATACAGCCTTAAGACCACAGACATCTCTTGAAAAAGAAACAGTTAGTCAAAAGCAGGGAGGGGATAGTATTTTGGAAATAGACACTGGAAAAAAACAGACAAACAACTAGAAGGGCTAACTCAGAAGGACATTACAATTTAGAACTTGGACAATAAGAAACACTTTTAAAGGAAAAACCTTGTAATGATTTTAGTGTCCTTTCAAGCACTTTAAAAGAAAGATCTATGTGAATTTCAGCTCCATATAATTAAGAATGCACAAAATGGTTTAAGAATTGTGTGTGATGCTGTGCTTCTTACAGCTGTGCTGGAGCTAGTGGGATACCCAGGTTTAGATTCAAGTCTAGATCAAACCCATCTTGAGAAGCATTCACAGCAGAGCACGCTTCTGCTTAATCTTTATTAGGCACCTTCCTTTGAGAGGCTTCCCCTTTGAGACAGGGAATAGAAAAGGGCCAGACTTAAGTGGCAATACTGTAGTATTAGTGGTTGAAGGCACTGTAGACAGGGAAAAATAATTTATTCCCTAGTACACAGGTTGTCTCAGGTGAGTGAGGAAGATTATTTCACCAAAGAAAAACATATATATATATATATATATATATTTTCCCTCAAGAGTAAGGTTTCTTAAAAGCAGATTTTATTCCAGCAAGGTATAGTCTCTTATGTTGTGTTAACATAATCACTTCAATCTTGATAATACTGAGTATCCTGTTTGTAGTTTCAGTCTAATTCACAGTGGAAGAGTCAGCAGGGACATCTGCTCCCAGGTTCTAGTGCTCCCATTGCTTTTAGACTCTTTTCCTCCATTCAGGATTCTTCTACAAAATCAACAAAATCTAAATCCATGTAGATGATGTGAAAGTGTCAATTCATACAATCACTGGCTGTGCAGGTGAGTTTGTAAAATTTTCTTTTTTTAGGCTTATTTAGGTATAAGATAAAAGCTTTGAAATAACACCCTTCTGAAAACCCCAAGAAGCAGATTAGACTGATTTTTCTTTTCTTTCCTTTAAGCAGGTTTAGTGCAAGTGTTTTTTAAACATATGTTTACCAAGGCACTTTGTCCATGTCCCTTGCTGGTCTGTGACCAGAAAAGTGGCAGACAGGATCAACTATTTCCCTGTAACAAAATAGGCTGTGAAACCCCAACTGCTTCTTGTTTATGGTGATGTCTCAGCATCCACACCTTGAAGTGCATGCAATTAAATAATAAATCCCTGTTGCAGAAATAGCAATAGCTCCCCTATGGTATTACATACTGTTATATAAAAGGATAGTTGGGAGCTTGAATTCTGCAAGATTTAAAGAAATTCTTATAAGCACTACTTCCAATGCCAAAAGTGTAAAATATATATGTGTATGTCTATAAAAAGAACAAGAAACTTTCTCAAGTTTGTCAACCCAGCATAAAAATACTGTCATGAGATCTCTATCTTTCACAGAATAGAGCTAGTACAAATCTGAGTAATATTACAAGAAAAAAAGAGTGGCAGAAAAGGTGCTGCACTGTTACTGCCAGAACCATGACTGCTATAGTGAACAAACATCTGTGCTGCCTGCTAGTTCTCAGCTTAATTCCTACTTTTCAAGACCTTCTGCCTTGTTAAAGCAGAATAATGTGGAAGGAAAGTGATTCTGCAGCTGTTTTTCCTTTGGCTGTAATAGCTTTAAACTGTGTGGAGCAGATATAGAAGTGTGTTCTGGAGCTCCTGATCAGAAGCACTTGGTGTTACGCAAACTTAAGCATAACACGTTATGCATAAAGATGTTGCCCCTTACAGCAAGGTGTAAAATTGCATTATAGATTAAAATGTGTGGCACAGAAGACATATGCATGTGTATTCCATAAACAGAAAGTCAGTGTTCTGCCTCTCTTCCCCCTTTCCAAAGAAAGGTGCAATGAGGTGGGTTGGATGACAGTCCTGTTAAAGCTATAGAGGTATAAGCCCTTCTTATCTCTATAAACATTTTAGTATATAAAGTTAAAGTTGGCCAAACCTCTGGGAGACATATTGTGTAGAAGCTTTGTGAGGGGAAGGAGGGGAAGTTTCACTGAGCCTGAAGATCAGTAGCTAAGACCACAGCAGCATGCTTAACAGCAAGGCCAAAACAAATAAAAGGAAAACCTTAACTTATAGTGGTGATAGTCTGTTGTTAGTAGGGGCAGTGCAACAGAGGGAGATCACATGCCTGTAGAGCATGTAGTGGTCAGGGACCTGGTAAAAGCAGTGCAGTGCCCCCTAACAAAACTGAATCTGCTTTGATTTTGAGAACTTCTCTCTCCTCTTGCCAAAGTTCAGTTGCTGGAGTAGCAGAAAATGATTTAGTGAAGCTTGAAAGATTGTGCAGACTTGTCAAAAGCCTAAACCAGCAAAAGGTCTTAATCTTATAGTAGTTCCATCATATAATAAGCATCGTTTCCTGCTCTTCCTGGAGAACTACTTTCCTTACCAAATGGGCTTAAATACCGGTAAGTACTGTGCTTTCTGTATTCCTTTACAGTAAGTTCCATAAAACAATCGCGTTTTGGTCCTCTCTGAGGACGGAAAGGTGCACTTTGCAGTAACAGGAGAGGACTAGTCACTTCCACCTTGGATTAGGACAGTGTTTCCTGTTGCTGCACAGTCTAATACTTATGGATAGCTGTTGGGTAAGCTGTTGCTGAAAAGAAATGGTAGATGTTCTGCTAGGATCCTGTTGAGCAAGCAGTCCTCTCAGCCATTTTCTGAGGAACTGGAACTTCAGTGCGTGCGAGAATGCCCCTTTAGAGCTTTTGCATTATATTTGCCTCTTATAGTTTGGATTTGGGAGTAGACTGGAGCAATATCCTCATGTCTAGCAGTGCTTGCTCGAGGTAATGGGCCATGCGAGCTGCGTTTGTTTCAGCACAGCTGTTGAATGCCGAAACTGCGAAGTTGATGTGGTCTGCCATGGGGTTGTAACAGACTCCGTAGCCATCTGGAACCACAGGACCAAAACACATCACACAGTCTGTCTTTGCTGGGACCTGTGGAGACAATGTGATTTAAAAAAAAAAAAAAAATCTTCCTCCTCACCCAGAGACAACAAACTAACAACTGGAAACGGAAAAACACTGCCATCTCACAAAAATCCTCTAGAAGAAGGGCTTTTGGTCAGACCCACGTACTAGCACCCCCATGCTGGATTCTGCACTTAGCAGTATGTTTTCATATGCTTTTGCAAAGGAGAACTGCTTGCCAAGATAAATGTGTAGTTTGTTTAGCAAAGGTGTGTGAGTGAGCACCACAGGTGGTGGATGTAAAGTTTTTTAGGCATCTCATTCCATAGGTAGACACCAAAATGCTTTTGGTTCTGCTGGTGTTTGAGAGAGTTGAGAAGGGCTGTAGCACTTGTAATCCCATAAAGCTCAGAGGTCTTGGAAACAGGCTTAAAATTTTTAGTCCCTAAATGGAGATTAGTTTCTAAGGAAAAGGGATGATGGAAAATTGTAGAGAAGAAAAAGCCAATACAGGGAATCAGAGTGTGCTTCTGTTTTGATGCTGAGTCCTACCTGACTGGTTGAGAGATTAAAGTGCATTGCCACAGCGTAGGCCGTGTCCATGAACAGCTCGGGAATGCTCACGAGGTCTTCAATAGCTTGAAGCTTCAGGCCTAGGAGGTGGCGGTCGATTGCGTTCCCCCTTACTGCCTGTAAAGAAAAAAGACCATCCCAGAGCCCATCTAGCAGGCAAGCAAACTAAATTATCCCCTCCTTTGTGAGGGGACAAATGGATGCATCTAAATCTCCTAATATTAAAAGTTAGAAGAAAAGTTGGATCTTGCCTTTAGCCTTGTCTGTAAGGCTTGTGAAATGAAGCACCCTAGTTGAATCAATCTCATAGTTCCTGCTTACAGGCTGTTGGTTTAAGGGGTCATTGAGCAGCTGTGGCATTTACCAACAACAGCGAGGGGGAGACCTAAAGCTATTCTGATATTTGATTCTGTCCTTTAGGCTAGTCACCAAGGACACTTGAACAGCTGTCCAGAGGGGAAGCAATCAGGTCCCAGCACTGTCAGATCAGAGTTAGTCCT